CCCGGGGGGGGGGGGGTCAGGGCATCAAGCCCGGAGCGCATTTACAAAACAAATGCTGCCAGGAGCGCAAGCGCTGCTGCAGCCGCCGATGACGGGAAGACAGGCGTGCGGGATGAGAGCGCGCCATTTGACTTGCCATCGACAGATCCCGTCGGCGACGGCGATGCGGATGTGCTGGGCTTTGTCGATGTGGAGCTGCTATTTGTCTGGCTGTTCAAGTTGACAAACGTGCCCTTGATCATGCTTGCAGCCTGCTCGGCGAGTCCGTACGTCGGTGCTTGGAGCTGCGAGAACAGGTGGGTCAGCAGCCTGGCGGCCAGTGGGCAGGCGAGAGACGTACGTGGGCGGAGAACTCAAAGGGAAAGACGGACGAATCCGCAACACGGACGTTCGCTGCGAAAAGATGAGCCCCACGTCTACCGCGAAAGCAGACGATCACGCACTAGTTCCATACACCTTGAGGTTGGCGTCGACGACACCACCCTGGCTGAGAGGAAGCATGGCACATGAACACGAGGGATGATACTCGGTATAAAAGTTTTGCGCGAGCCACGTCTCCCACTCATCATCGGTGTTCACGCTCGATCCTGGCGAAATTTCCTCCGTCATGACAGAGCTGAGCGGCGCGGTGTTGCCGATATCTCTGCAGAGCCTAAGGCCTTCGCGCAAGAGAACAAGGTCTGCGAGGAGACGGTGAGCAGAGCACAGCCGCTTTAGGATGAAACATACCGGCATTGTGGGAGAGGTACTGGGGGTCAATGAGTGGATAGTCGAAGATGTCCGAACTGTTGATGTAAAGCCGACCTTGACTGAGGAGAAGCAGCGTGAATGGCACTTCGCACAACCCGCTCTTTCGGCGAAACATACCTGAAGGGGTGCTGCAGAGCTGCCTGAATGGAGATCGTTTGCGGGTTGTACTGGCCGGAGCCGGTGAGGGTGAGAAGGATCTCCATATCACCGATAGACGACATGAGCAGGGTCTGGGCGGTGAGGTTGTAGATTGCCTTGTATCCTTCGATGACCTCGCTATACTGGCTCGGCACGAGGGTAGCTGCGCTCTCGCTGACATTTGCTGCGATCTGGGAAGCATACGTTTGAGGCGCGGAGACGAGGGAGCTAAAGTTGACATAAGCCGTCGCCGAGTTGACGAAAGATAGGAAGGGAGACGAGACATCGGGAGGCTATGGATGTGAAATCAGAAGGCTTGATGCGGCGCACTTCCAAGGTATCTATCAGCGGACGTACATTGCTGGAATAATTAGCGTAGTAGATGCTCGCAGACGTCTGCGTGTTCGTCTTCCAGGTAACTTCTGCATACTAAGGTAATGTCGGTCAAACCTTGGCGGAAGTCGGGAAGATAAGAGTGGGAGAAAACACGCACGATGTGGTCCTGCAAGTGCTGCCCAACGCCCGGTAGCGATATTTGGACAGGGACACCAGCGGCCTCCAACACATCCTGGGGGCCAACTCCGCTAACCATCAGAATCTGCGGGCTTCCGATGGCGCCTGCAGCAAGGATGACCTCCTTGGACACTTGGACGCTCTGCGTAGCCGCGCCGCTCGCGCTAGCATACTGTACCTCGGTTGCGGTGATGTTTCCATCTGTGGCGTTGGTGAAGACGAGTCGCGTGACGGTGGCGTTTGGAAGGACATCGAGGTTTGAGCGCGGAGGAAGAGGATCTATATAAGCAGAGCGCGAGTAGGAGCGCGTCCAATTGGCCGGATTAATAGCAGAAGTGGCTACAAAGGCGCCCCAACCCTCCCCTCCGTCTGGATTGGCGGATGTCTGGAAGCCAGCGGCGTTCATGGTCGGCTCCCAGTCGCCGACCTGAGACATCATGCTGTCGGAAGATGTTAAAGGCCGTCAGCAGGCATATAACACGCGCGCGCCACAGCGCCGACAACGGGCCGGTGCGAGAAGGGAGGACGTACTATCCGGGATAAGAGGCGTGTAGAGGGCCCGAGAAGCCATGGCTAGAGTTTGCATACTCGATCTTGGCGGTGTCCTGGACGGTGGTGGAGGGAGGGGAGTAGGACTCGCTGGACTTCATGGCGGCGTAGAGGTTGTTCCAGGCCCAGATGGAGCCATTGTCGACCAAGCCTGCCCAGGCGTTGAGTTCGACCTCGGAGGGCCGGACGAGGTAGAGACCGTTGATAGCAGAGGAGCCGCCAAGGACCTTGCCGCGCGGCCAAGCGATCTGGCGGTTGTCAGCGTTTGGCTGGGGGACGGTCTCGTATGCCCAGTCGTAGGACGTGCCGACGAGGGAGTTGTAGTAGGTGTAGACGGGGATGTCTGTACGCGCGTGAGCGACGCGAGAAGACGCAGAGAGCGACGAGCGAGGTACGCACCGATCTTGTCCTGGACAGCCTCTCCGGTGTCTCCGGCTTCGAGGACGAGGACGGTCGTGTTGGCGTCCTCGGAAAGACGGGCTGCGAGGACAAGGCCAGCGGTGCCGCCGCCGACGATGACATAGTCGTAGGAGGATGCAATAGAGCCGTCAGTGACGATGTTGCGGCGGTAAAGAGCGCGTTCGGAGCGGAGGAAGTCGTCCTGGGCGTCACTGGGGACGGCGGCGATAAAAGGGAGAGAGAGCGCGGCGAGGGTGAGGGCGGGGAGGACGGCGCGCATGGCGTCGAGGAGGCGGGGATGGGGAGAGCAAGAAAAGAGCGACGGGGAGTTTTTCTGGAGAGAGCAGCTGCAGTGGGGCCAGGGCGAGGGTGCCGTCTATTCGGGCGGCTATTTGTAGTCTCCCTCCCTCCGTCCATCTCCATCAGCGCGCGCACCCCGTCGCCGTCTCCCGTCTCGCCGTCCGCCCGCCGTGGCCCATGCCCAGGGCCAGTCGAGTCGAGTTGCGTGCTGCAGCCTCGCCGCCAGCTCGCTGCTTGCGCTCGCACACTCTCGATTTTCGAGGAAACACACAGCTCCCAGTCCCAAAAATAGGCTCCCCGGCCGCCTGCACATGCCGCCTCGTGCACGATGGCGCCCAGCACAGCTGCATTCATGTCTCCAACCCCTCCGAGTGCTCGTACTGAGCACTCTTCAAGTCGTTAGCCCCCTTCTGACCCGCTCGTGCACCGAACGCATTCCTCGCCACAACATCCTCCCTCGACTCCGACTAGCCTGCGTTGAATTCAGCCTGCACCAACGGGGGGTTGCGATCGTCGTCAGGACGTCTTCCGCTTCCCAGCACATCATTCCGTGCGTGCATCTTCAGACGCTCTGTGTGTAAATATACAGACTGCATACTCCCCTGCGGTGTCTCAACTTAGCACACTGGGTATTTTTGTCAACATTCTGCTGCACGGTGACGTGATAGACTTGCGTGCACACCCGCCCCAGTGAGTGCGCGACATCCACCCCCCGCCCGATGCCCGTTCAGAGCCCGTGACGATGCATTTGCATCATCACCCTCGCCCGCTTGCAATCGCATCCATCTTGTTCAATGACGTCAACGAGCATTCGACCTGTGTACGTGCCACTCCATTATTGGCTTATTATTGTGGGTACCCGCGGCACTCAGACGCATCTGGTGTTCACCATCTTCTAGCCAAATAACCCGCCCCGAGTAGCCATCCTTCCAATCCATGAGTGACATCTCTTCAACACCGCACCTCTCGTGACCAACGACGCTCTCTAGATTAAACTCTGTCCTCCATCGCTGCTCCTTATCCGTTATCTGCTCCTTATAGGGCTCCACAATGTGGTCTGCTTTGATTTCATAATCTTGTGAAATTGACTTCCACCTTTATCCGCGACATTGTTGTGGTCTCCATACCACAATATGCGCCACCTTTTGTGCTCCAGAAGGTTGCTCTGCTAGAGTCTGGAATGCGTGCAATTCTCTTGGCTTAAAATGAAAAAGCGCACCACACTCGTGCCCAGTGTCCCACGCACCTGTTTGTCGAATTGCGGGCACAGAATTAGGACATGGCGACACACCTGACTGCGTGGCTATGCCACCTGAATGCATACAACTGTGTGCCCAGACTTCTCCCTGGTCTCGTGTGTCTTCAATCGTCCAGATCCTTCCGGCAACATCTCCAGTCAATTGGAATATGCCAGGGTTATCTTGCCACCGACGTCAAGAAGGCCACAAATTTTGCTGCCAATTTGCTCCAAATCGTTTTCTCGGCCCCGCGCATGTTCTCGGTCCCGTCGGCGACAATCACGAGCTCGACCCGTCGTTGGTCGCAAGAATATCATAGAATGTCGATTCATCTTTGAGGACCCTCGTCGAAATGACTTGCGCTATTAGCCTTCGAGACACTGCTGAAGTTGGATCCGTGCATAGCATAAATGTGTTAAATTAGGCCTCAGTGCTCCACATCACAGATGCCGATCGATCCCAGCGCCATGGATCGTAGCAAGCCGCATTTTTGTGGTGTAGTCCACGTCTGCGGTGGACCACGCGCTTAGCAAGGCGCCAAGTGATCAATCGCCGCTCAAGGTGGCCACCTCGGAAGGATGGTGTGTGGCGATTGTGCAGTAGGGGAGAAATTCCAGTGTCTTAGGGCAACATCGCTAACCTCACATCAGTGCCACCAGCTCCGAAAAAAAAAACGACATTGCTTAGATTCCTTAGGTGTCCGCTTGGGCGCTAAGCCGTTATTACAGGACACTACCTTTCGCGCTCATGTGTACTACGTCTATTGCACAAAGAGTCACTTTTATCGAACAAGCGTTCATTAAATCAGCTGACGGAACTTTGGCCTCGTCAATAGCCTCTATATCTGTTGTGCCGCACGGATATAGTCATTCTCCATCGAGAGACTCAATAGGAAACATCACTCATTTCCGGAACGAATCGGTCTCCGTCGAGACTTGATAGGGCACATTAATGTAAGTCGTCCATCTTCTTGCTACCACTCTAATCAGATGATGAACAGGCGTGCTGATTCTTCATCCAAGGGTAGGGGCTCTGGCGTCAGTTCTCACCGAGTCACCATTGCAATTGGACCATGCGGATAATTTCTGATCCTACCCCTGACATTTTCGAGAGCCATCAGGGGCGGTATGTGGCTCAAATGTGCGCGGCTGCGCTACTGGGGAAGCTATTCACGGATCATAGAAGATCACCTGGCCTCTCTGTGAATGAGTCTGCATAGGTGTCCAGTGTCTGTGGTATTGATATCTCCGTTCCCAGATAATTTCCCGTAATATGCGTAACAACATCAATGTCAAAAACCACTTTGAATTATCAATATGCAGTTGGTTTGTCGCTGGAAAACGCTGCTCATGCGCATCAGGTCTGTGCATTGCAGACATTTGAACCACTTGACTTATAATCAACTCGTATGCTCCGAGTGTCTGAACCGACTTGTGGAAAATGTGTGGATATTGCCTCGTCAATAACAAATGTCATGGTTTTTTTTTCTCGCAGCTGCTTCTTCACCATGTTCACGTTCCTGCAGGTTTCGGTGCGGCTGCGCAGCTAAACCACCCGCGTATCTCAATTTCCCGTGTGTGCGTCGTGTGACTGCTTCGAGAATGTCTCTCGATACGGAGATTGACTTTCGAGTCCATCTCTGGACCTGACCTTGGGCTGCCTAGATCAACGTAGACCTGTCGCGAGCGTAGTCAAATCGAGCCTAGGCGAGACCCAAGCTGGAATTTCACCTATAGAAGGTTCGTCTGACACATGGTTTATCTGTACCGCGATTACGCTTGCGCACCCGTATGGATACGGCATGCACATCTGAGCGTTGCTATGAACGTATCGCGGTAACGCTGTTGTTGTCACAGAGGTGTCTCCACCTCTCCCTGGGACCTCTTGTGTCTGGAATCACGAATACTAATCGCGAGGTGTGTGTGCCTGTCAACATGAGGACTGTTATGAAGATACGGTGTACTCACAGGTGCGTCCGCAGGACGAACGCAAACCTGGCAGGTCAACAGCCACATCCTAAACTACACTGTTAGCCGACTGTGTTGGTGCAAGCATTCTGGACACTTTGCTGCTGACAGCTAGAGAGACGTTCGAGATTGACATCGTGAAGTCTCCAGACAGGCAGGTTGTGCATGGCCTGATCACTGAGAAAGACAGCAATGAGGCAGACTCAGCGGTGATCATGGTGTGAGAGTGCTACGGTAGATCTTGTCTGAATTACTGCTGCCATAAAGTCTACATCTGCGGCCTGCCCTGCAGCCTAAGCATGCAGTATGCTACCACCCAAGGGCGCGATCCTGCGCGCCAGAGAAAATTCGCCGTCCAGCTTTAGTGACTTCTTGTTTGACAGGGCGATTGGAACCCGCTTGTTGATCGTGCTATTCCGCCCATCGAATTAATTGTGGCTACTGAACACCTCTATATGGCCAATTTCGTCTCGGATATTGCTCAGCATTTCAGAGGGGTAGTTGATTCAAGCCTGGTTATGAATATCCGAATTTTTTTGTGGCGCGTGCGTTGTTGTAGGCGTGCTAAAAAGCAATTATGAAAGTCGTATTTGTGTGCAGCGTGCCCGTCTTCTCTTGCGATGTATTGGGCCTCGGTATATGAATCAATAGTAGCATACTTTGAAGGGTAGACTAACTACTGTCGTCGATACGCTTCAATTTACCTGTATACCACATGATACCACACCGTGACGCTGCTAACGATAAGCTAAGCTATCCATGCCTGAGACACAGTGGGACATAGTACGATGTCCGATTGATCCACCACCGTATTACGCCTGAACACACACCTGAGATTTTCCAGCGACAACCTTACACTGAACAAATTTTATTTGAAATCTGTATGCCGTTGATTGATACTGTGTGGTTCGCAATTAAAATCATGCCGGACTATTCGGTCCACCTTGCGACGCTGCGATAAGTATAAAGCTGAAGGTTCGACGCGCTATATCAGGCCTCTTTACCCCACTCCGAGTCTGTAGCTGGATCCTTTGATGAGTCATCGTATCCACTCGACCGCCACATTGCCGTGCACGTCTTCTGGTAAAGGCTGGAACTCTCCCCTCGATGTTCATCGCACATGGCTCATGAGCTCGTTCCTAGGTTCAACTCTTCCCTGCAATGCCTTGCGTTCGGCGGCAGTTAGGTCGCCAAGGATCCCACAGGAGCTGGCGGACTCTATCATCGACGAGCTGGCGACCTCATACGAGCACACAGCGCTCGCCGCCTGCTCGCTCACTTGTCGCGCGTGGCTGCATCGCTGTCGGTCTCACATACACAAAACGCTTAGACTCGACCACAACAGCAGGATCGACCGTCTCACAGAGCTCTACTCTGGCTACCTCGCAGATTACATCCAATGCCTCAGCATCGACGCTTGCGATACCGGCGGCACCGAGATGCCCATCCCCCACCCCTGGCTCGATGCTGCTCGCCCGTTGCTGAAGATGCTCAAGCGAATAAACAGACTTTCGCTGGACGGCATCACTTGGAACGACTTCGAGCCGGAGACGAAACAGCTATTCCTTACGCAATTTCCGCTCGTGACGGACATATGGGCGGCGACGTGCGACTTCTGGGACTCGCGCGAGTTCGTACGCCTCCTACAGGCGTTTCCGAACTTGAAGGTATTACGGATGGAGACGTCAGATTGGGAGTTGGCGGAATGCGATGATGTGTTGAAGGAGAACCCGCCCACTCTCCACCTCGACCACCTGGATGCGGGGGAGTTGTGTAGCGGACCGGCGGATATCGCGCGGTGGGCGTCCAGCAACCGTACAGAGGTTTCTATCAAGAATATCCACTTTGCGTGGCAAGGGTGTGAGAGCACACAAAGCTTGGGCCAACTTTTGCGTGCCGCTGGATCCTCGTTGAAGCACTTATCCGTGCTTGTGGAGGATCATGGCAGACCGCCATCCCATTCCAGTGAGCATTACTGATCGTCTCATGGCAACGATCTAGTACTCATACAGACCGCCGAAGATGATGATCATCTAACCCTTCGCCACAATTCTGAGCTGAACACTATATCGCTGTTTCCTCGCCTCGAGGTGCCTGAAAGCGCCGACATTTCCTGGGTATCAGATATCCTCTCCGACGTATCGTCGCCTCGTCTGGAGATGGTTGCCGTCTATATCAAAGTCCCATCTTACAACCACTTGACGCACTCCAATTGCAGGTGGGATACGATTGATAAAGCGCTTTCCAATCGCAATTTAGAGAGCCTGAAAAGAGTGGATGTGTGCGTTCTTAGGCCTATCGGGAGCGGTGGTGACTCTCTTGATCCAAACGTCCCCGGCTTCTTAAGGACACTTATGCCAACACTGGAATCGCGTAAAATCCTGCATGTGACTCAACGGTCTTGTAATTGACTCGCTGCTTTGTGCAACGCAGTCTTCGAGTCGTATGACGTAAGTGAATTCGACAAATCCTTGCGGTTTGGATATTTACGTTATTCGCTGCGGTCCACCAATCGTTCAAGTACGGGCACGGGTTCATCCGTGCCCAGAGAGAGGACATGCAACCCGGTTTTCGAGAATTTGACATTGGCCCCATTCATTTCAGGGGGTCACGATGATTCTTCTGTGGTTGACTATGCCTACTCCAATGTTCTCTAGCTATGACAATGCATCACCATTCATATGATTCATTTAAAAGATGTATTACTTCGCATTTGATATGGTTACATGATATACTCGCCAAACGGATCAACGGGCGGAGTGAGGACACAGATCCTACGGCGACGTAAGGATTGAGTTTTTCTAAATGGAAAACACTGACTAATTGTGGTTCGTAGCCACCCACAGCTGCCAATATGCGCGCGTCTTCCTATCGTCCAAGCAAAACCTCTGGCGAATCGAGCGGCAGGATGCCTGGGTAGAAATATACGACAAGCACCTCAGTTCCTGAACGTGTCGCCTAACATTGGCGAGGTAGAGAAGGGATGGAGATGACAGCGCTAGTCCGGCATGCGTGTACTGTATGCACATTAGTCTCGTATCCAGACGTGTCGAAGGTACACATCTCGATACGAGGTCAATGACATCTGCGCTCGACTGCGTGGACCCGTGCTGGACACATCGTGAGACCAGCTATCGTTGACCCGTGCCCGCCACAAGTCCACAATTTTGTTAGCAACAACATTTTACAACGACAATCCGCTGATGTCGGGGCTTACTGCAAAGTTCTTCCATGATTTTTGGCCGCCGCGACGCCGCTACGCATGATAAATTGAGAGTTATGGCCACACCCACATAGACATATCAGGGCTTCTCAGGCTGCATGGGAACACTCTGCGGACACACGGACCACTAGTAGGGTCATAAGAGGAAAGGGTCGGAGCTATCCTTACGGTGGCGTTCAAAGTTCAGCCATTCGGGCTTTGAAGATGTTCAGAAGCGATTACTTAAACGGCTCTGTTCTGTGTTCCATCATGACGAATAGGAGATGAGTCAATGTGCGTTAGAACGAGACTGGAAAATACTCACAAGGAGCAACCAATGGGAGGTCGCAAAAGAAAACCTGGAACATGATTGGCCGAAATACAGGCGTGGAGTCGATAGACTTTGGGACGACTTTTGTGTGAAACGAAAGGCAATGGGAAGAAATTATGCATACGTGCTGGCAACTTTTGGGACACCATCACAACCATGACGGGACACAACCTTGCTCTCCGGTATCAAGCTGAGGCGTTGACACCTCCGTGCGCAAATATAATGTGACTTGAGGGAAATAAAACGCATGATACTCCCCGCGGCGGCTTTGCCGAGTTGTCTAGAACATCGAAGAGGCCGGACCTGGTCGAATTCGACCATGTATTTGATATCCAAGTATGCAGAGAATTAAGGAAAAATCAAGTTTAGAGCTACATGGCCTGACATTTACCTTGGCAGTGCTCACATACAGCTGATAAGCTCACAATGCATATGCTGATAATGCATATATTTGTTAATGCATTGACTTGACCAAGGTCCCAAGTTGGGTGCACTGACAATAGCAAGAAAATTGCATAACGCATAATGCGTTGCATACTCATACAAGATATGAATTATGAGCAGGGACAATAGAGAACTTACTCATGTATATAGTATAAAATGCAAGTTATACAGCTTCCTAACTTCATCTGAGAATCTCAGTGACTCTGACAATGACAAGGCTGATTCAGGCCCTAGTAGCTCCAAGTCATCACTCACAAGAGCAGAAGCCATTCAGTAATATCATGCTCAATTGCACCAGGAAAAAATTTCAAACATGAAGGCAGGTTACATTACATAAATATTCTTTACGGAACAACTAGTGACTCAACTGTACGGTGACAATAACAGATACCTGCACCTGTAACATGTCACATACATGTGACACATATATGTTGGCATGATTGCCTCTGCATCACAGGTCTCAACAAAATTCTGAGCTTTTTACCCACCAAGTAGCCACAAACTGTGTGAGTGTTTCTCCATATCAACAAGCTGTATGCGTCAGAATGCTACAGTTAAGCAAGGTCCACAGCTACTTAGGTGCTGACTGCTCTTCGAGCAAATCAGTGCAAGTCGGCAGAAAAGACAAAATAAATTGCCAGGAGGGCGGCTCGAACGCCCGACCTGCAGAACACATAACCATCTTCAGTCTGTCGCTCTCCCAGCTGAGCTATCCCGGCTTGTGATCAAGGCAAGTTTAAATTATTATAATCACAAACCGCTGTCTTCGCATATCAGCCTAGCCGTTTTTAGTCCTTCCCAAGCCACTCTTCGACTTTTAACTCGCTCTACCCACTTGAATAAGACTACGACTTGATCACCTCTTTGCTTGGGCAACAGAAGTTTTTCTTTCTGCAGGATGCAATGCCAACTGTGGGGGTCAAGTCCATTGCGTTTGGAGTGGAAATCGGGTTAATGATCCTGGCAAATGCTGCATCCATCCTAGCATCGAATACATGGTTCATGACGACGCAGATGTAGTGAACAGAATCTGAGTGCATGCAGGCGAGGGACTGCGTAGGTTCCAAGGTGCATTGAACCAGCATGACGCGAGCTATGCCGTCTCTTATAGTCAAGTCAAGCCCGTCTTATATTCCCAGGTGTGTCCATAACTGCCGACTCGTCGAGGCTGATGCACCTGGAATTAGACTTTCAAAAGTGAGCTCTGCACGCAACAAATATAGTAGATCTCGACCGGATTCGTTAAAGGTAGCTCCGTGCATACTATTACTCCAAACGAACAGCAGTATGAAAATCTAGTTGTGTACCATCTACCTCCTTTGGTTTCTCTACAAGATTCGTGGTTGTGCTGAGACTAAATGTCTCAGATCATACAAGTTGAACGCAACGTCTTACCACCAGCGCATCGTACCATTGAAAACGGACGCTGTTGGGTTAGTCACTCGTCCTATGTTCGAGGTCTTCTCATGCGGTGTAACATGAACTTTTCTATTCTCTATTCTTTTACACACGATACACGATTTTCTCAGCGCTGACCTTGCCCTCCCTCATGTATTGTAGCCCCTCTGGGATACCATCCAGGCCACCCTCCCAGAGCCGTATCCGATTCGGTAAGATCTTTCCCTCCTTCACAAGTGTGGGAATTTTTTTCAGGAACGCCGCCATATGATTACGATCCTCGGAAGACGCGGTGTACAATGAGTTAGGGCCGAGCGAGAATGTACGACCGAGCGCAGTGTAAATCAGCGTGTCTACGTGGGTACGAAGAAATGAGATCCTTTGCCGTCGGGTAGCATCCATGAGATGAGACACGCACGGGTAATCTTCACATCGTCGCGCACCTTCGCTTCCGCGATTGGTGCTAGAAGAAGAATAAGGCGGCCTCCATCTGGCGCTATTACCTTTGCCGAGATCTCTTGCGACTCTCTCAAGCTAATTGTGTCGAAGGAATCTCGAATGGAGTCGCCTGTCGCTGCCCTGATTTTACTCACGACTTCTGGGTCCTTGTAATCGAAAAACACGTCGGCACCGAGGGATTTGACGAGTTCGAAATTATGCGGAGATGCGGTTGTGACCACCTTGTAACCGGACAGGTGTGCTAGTTGAATCGCATACTGGCCCACGGACGCTAACAGATGTGTAATGAAAGTCAGGTCCAATGCAACAATGCAAGTGCGTTGTAAACACTGACAGCTGCCACCATATACAAAAATCCATTGTTCCTTGTCGACCTTCTCGGGTGGTTCTACGAAAGCGAGTCGTTTGGGATGATACAACGCCTGAATTGCGGTCCAAAATCTGGCTTCTAAGTAGAATCGTCTGCAAGGCGGCCGCGGAGGGATTCTTACTCACGCGCAGCCCAGTGTCGCTAGCTGTTCATGGCTCAAGACTCCTTCTGGTACAACCCATGAGAGCTCAGCAGGTGTCTTCAAATATTCCGCGTAAGCCCCGCGATCTTGGTACGTTCCTCCCTGTACGAAACCCGCCACATGGTCTCCGACCTTAGGGAAGGTGACGTTCTTTCCTGTCTGTGCAACGTATCCCGACCAGTCACATCCGAGGATCGTATCCACGATTTGAATTCGGTCCACGACTGTCGCATTTCGATTCAAGATTGAATCCGTCGCGGACCGGTAGAAGCCAGTCAGTCCGGAACACGCGGAGAGGGCGGACCGTGCTCACACTTCCAGTCTGTGGGATTTTGTGCCAAGGCAACGGTCTTGACCAGGATTTCATCGTCATCCAAAGTGGGAATTGGGCGGTCTTTGATTGCGATGGTCTTTCCCTGTCCATGATGCAGCAAGTTCAATGAGCGGCCGACACCTACTTTGGTTGTTGGCACACCTACCTCTTGAACTACCACGGCCTTCATTGTCGTTGGTATTGAAATCGACATTCTACCGAAGAGGATGTGATCGAAGAAGGTATTCTGAAAGAGCTTTGGCTATTGCCAGTAAATTGAGAAGTTGCTGATCTCGAGGAGCTCATTCCTGCCTGCTTATAAGCAGTGGACTCCTATTCCCGCTCCGAGGCTCATCCACATTCCGTATCATGGAAATTTGTGCTGCTGACTGTACATCTCATTAGCTCGTGCGGGGGAACTTCGCGTATATTAAGACCCTATCGGACTATCTTGTCGTGTTGGTCTGCGCTGGCGCTTTCTACGCATGTCAGGATAATCCAACACGACGCGTAGAATGTGTTCTATGCGCTTTATGGCAGTATAAGGCCAATTGTCATGAGAACACTAGTAGGATTCGACTCACTAGAAGATACCGAAGACCTAAAGCGGTTCTGAGAAGTTCTGAGACCGGCGTAGAGGAAGCGCTTCAACATTGAAGCTCAAGCCTTACCGATCATATCATGATCAGTTGGTGAGTGTTTTCAAGATTGGCAAAGTCGTGGTCAGGCCCTTACAATGCTGCTAGAATTAGATACTTGAGCTCTCTAATCTTTCTACCTCGCTAGCTGATAACTGCTCTTGCACTGGATGAGATTGGGCTACTTTGTGAGGTCGTATCTTAGACAGTGGAGCTCGCACACTACTAACCGTGCAGGCACTGCAGTGTGCCATCATGCGTGGACCATATCCACTGCGGTTAAATGTGTTCCTGTTTCAGGCTACGCCGGCACATCGGACCTCGTCATCGATGATCAGTCGCTTGCATGATCCAGACTCTTATTCTGTACCGCTATGTACACATCGCTAAGTATGCCAGAACTGAGGCATCCAGTGATCTTCTCGAATATTGACGTCGGCTCAAGCAAATATCTTGCTCATTTTGGACGGGTCCTTTAACCTGCACAGTATACTTGTCTCTCACATTGGATCACCTGAGACTGGTTGAGTGACACCCTCGCACTGCAGGCTGGTTGTATTTTCCAGTCAAAAACCGCGGATGTACTTCCATTTCAATGATTCAGCTTAAAGAAATATGCCATATCATAGTAATACATCACCTACTATAATTCAAACCTTGATGGCCAATAATTGCTGCTCATTCGTCTTCATCCAGGATATTCATTCATGCCGCTCCTTTTGGACGACCACCTCTTCCCCTGGTGTAACTTTTTATTCTGTCCGCTTTCACGGCCCTTCCAGCGGACGACGCGCCCCGCGTAGCACGCTCATTGCCGTTCTCTCTCGTAATGTCAGTCCCAATCCTCTCCACTTCCGCGCGAGTAGCAGGATATCCTCGCACGCCGCGTCTCAGGCTTCCTGCGCCAAGCACGCCCCGCATGCTCCCTGGAATCCGTACATCGTGCGTCGTACCTGCTTGCCGTAAGTATATGGCGGGATTGGCAGTCGGTAAAACCGAAGCAGACGAACCTCGACCTCTCACTTTATGGCCACCTCGCATGGCAATGTGATTTCCCGCACCTCCCCCGTTCATCCCATTCGCCCCCAAATTGAAACCACCCCGCTTCGTTCCACGCCCGAATCGGACATTGGAAGGGACGAGCGAGAGTGACCCCATGGCACCGCTGAGGGAGTCGATCGTATCCTCGACTACGCCACTATCACTCACCTGTCTTCCTGTTTCATTCAGCCCGGATGCTGATATTGTTCCCTCGATGATTGCTTCATCCGCCTCTGCTTCCACATGGACGTTCCTCCTCTGAGAGCTTGCTCTCTCAGCCTCGCCATCTCCATCGTCGCTGCTATCTGCGTCGCCGCTCTTTGTGATATCTCGTGCCTTCCACTGAGCCCGAACCATGCTCGCTCCTTCACCCCATCGCTTTAGAAGCCCGCCAACGCCTTTATTCGTGACGGCAAAAAAATATTCCTTTGGATATCCATGTGCTTGAATGAGATGCAGTCGCCGCGTCTTGGGGGTGAGGAAGCAGCGACCGCACATTACCAGATGACAAGCAAACTGGGGGAGAGTGAGTAAGATGCCATCAGAGACGACGGCAGTGGTGAAAGATGAGCCTGTCAGACGATAGGCTCAGGAAAACCGCCTGTGCAAAGACTCACGATTTTTTCACCTCTGTCCTTGCGCACCGCGGCCAGTGGATCATGACATTCTGTCTGATGCTGTAAGGCAACATCATGAGCAGAGTGCGCGGGAGAACTCACACGCGAGTCAAGGGCCAGAAGACGGGGAACTGACCAGTTCTAGCAGCCTAGCATCTGGGAACACGCAGGCACAGCCTCTCTCTTCGCAGACGTGCGCGTGATATGTCGCATAATGACTCTCTAGTTCTGCTGTGCTCGCCAGTGGCGTCGGACGGTTGTGTGGCGGGTTGCATGTTGGAGGGAGGGTGCAGAGCAGCGGAGATGCGGAAGACGAGTGATCAGAGGGAAGACTGGTGCGGACTGCCTTTGGGGTTGGTTCTGGGGAGGGCGAGTTGGAAGAGCCCGTTGCCGACGCTGCGCGGATTCGTTTGGCTGAAGACATGGTGGCAGAGAGCGGCAATATAAATGCTGGCTTTGATGCTCAAAAGGCTATGTTGTAATTATGTAATAAGCAGAGGCTAGGTAACCATCAAGGTAGCCTAGTCGAGTGAACAGCCCTATTGGCGTCTGACGTGGTGGTGCTCGCCACTGCGCAGCCGAGGCCTTTGCGCACTCTCATCCCAGTCCAAGGCTCGCTCTGTTCTTTAATCTTTCTAATTCTTTGCAGTTCATCTTCCCAATTCCTCTCGGCCGTACTGTTCTCATCTGTGGGAACGACGGGACCCGTCCCGCCGCAGACACCGGCTGGCTGCCTCTTGGCCATAATCTCCTCGTCTGCCACAGATTGTCTTCGACCATGGAGGCTGTCGTGTTTCGTCTGGCTGTGTTCTTCTCTCTACTGCTCACTGTCCTGGCTCAGACCCAGCCGGAATCCAGCATCTCCTACTTTGACAACCTTCCTGCTCGTCTGTTCTTCTTTGCCGACACAACTGTGCGTGACGAACCCCCCAGTCTCGTTGAAATGCTCACCCAGAATCTCGTAGACCGCCATATACCATGATGTAGTTGCGGGCAACGTACATGTCTCGCAAGATGAGGGCAAGACGTGGAACTTAGCGGCAGGCCTCCCAGAGGGGAAGGCCGCTATGGTCATCGAGCATCCATTTGACAAGAGCTATGTACGTTCCACTTTTTGACGCTGTATGCAGTGTGCAATCGCAATGTGGCTGTATGAATTCTTCGTCTCTACCTTCTCACTTTCTAGGGGCTGATATAATATGTAATGCTACCGACGATATTCGCAGCGGGCGCGACCTCGTTCTGTATATAATTCATCTTACCAGCCACCTGCGGAACTAGATTGAAACTGCGGTCACGTCCGTTGCGAATATCCATCGTCCTTCTTCCCCGGAAATGAACTTCGCAATTATTCATGAACTTGTCTCTTGCGGGCTCATACGGGAGTTCACTCGATTCTTGTATTGCCACGTGCGATGGTCGAATTTGCTGCGTCTCTATGAGTCTCATTCAGCTCGTCATCCTTGCTATGCGACATGAACCTGACACTGATTCCACAAATACTCTTAGGCATTCGTACTCACTAGGGGTACAACACATTACCGCACCGACGATCAGGGCCGGACTTGGCGTTCGTTTGACATGCCTGTGGCCCCTGCCCTAGTTGGGCAGCCACTGTCATTCCACTCCGATAAATCCAAGTATGGGTATATCCTTTATCAAGGCACGCGATGCGAGTCATCTGGGGGCTGGGGGTCAATTTGTTACGATGAGGTACGCGTTTATTCAGGTGGACAAATGTTGTTATTCAATCTACTACTCATACAGACCTATTACACCAAAGAGGCTTTTAGTGGCGAACCGCAGCTTCTTCTTGAGGAGACATCCCGCTGCCAGTTCGCTCATAGCAGCGCCGACTTCGTACATGACGCGCATTCAGACCTAATCTACTGTGTTGCTTTCGACTCAACATCGACGTCAGGCTCACACTCGCTGTCCGCAAGCCGACTGTTCTCGTCCACAGACTTTTTTGACTCCAACAGCAAGGTCGAAGACCTTGGCATCGGGAAGAATGCGAAAGGTGTCGTCGCGTTCGCGATCGTCTCCAAGTTCGCGGTAGTCGCGCTGCGAGATTTAGCCCCAGGAAATACAGGCGAAATGCTGTTGTACGTATCGGTGGATACCAAAACATGGGCCAAGGCTCGCTTTCCACACGCGTCGTCGGCGCGGCTTCGTGAGAATGCGTATACAATTGTTGAGTCGACGACGCATTCTATCGCGGTCGACGTCATGTTACAAGACCAGACGACTATTGGCACATTATTCGTCAGTAATTCCAACGGGACGTTCTTTGTCGAAAGCTTGAAGGATACTAACCGGAATGAGATGGGATATGTGGACTATGAGACTTTGTATGGAATCGAGGGTGTTGGCCTGGCAAACATAGTTGGTAATGCACAAGAAGTGGAGGCCAGAAGAGCGACGAAGCAGCTGCAGACAAGGATTACATTCGATGATGGTGCGTGATCAGCTTATGTATATTGCAATATCTGAACGGCATGCTTAGGTCGCTCGTGGTCTCGTCTTCGGCCACCCAGCGAAGACAGCGAAGGTCGCCGAATTCCATGCAACCCCAGTGATGACAGCTGTTCTCTGCACCTTCACTCTATCACAGTTCCTCACAATTTCGGACGCGTCTTTTCTTCTCCTGCCCCCGGTCTCGTTATGGGCGTTGGGTCAATTGGTTCATATCTTCATCCATATGAGGACTGCGATACGTTCTTGAGCACTGACGCCGGGATAACGTGGAAGATGGTCCGCAGGGATGCTCATAAGTATGAGTTTGGCGATCAGGGTAGTATCATGGTTCTGGTTAATGATGAGGAGAGTGCCGACACCATCAGCTATTCGAGCGACTTTGGGAGCACTTGGTATGTGATTCCACCAACTTCCCATTTTTCGGTTCGTAGTGTTCACAGTGTTCAGGCAAACATATGACTTTGGCGTAAAGCTGCGCGCACGAATTTTGACCACCGTGCCTGACTCGACATCGCAGAAGTTCATGCTAGTTGGTCAAGTTACTAAGCGAGACCAGCAGTCGGGGCAGGGTCGCTATGCAGTTGTATTCCTCGACTTCGCCGCCACTCGATCGCGTAAATGCGATGAACACGATTTTGAGCAGTGGTATGCAAGATCTGCGAAACATGCGTGTCTGATGGGCCATAAGGTATGATCGTTCAACCCATCATAAGTTTTTTTCTAAATTTATGAATGTGCTATAATATAGCAATGGTATAAACGGCGAAAGCTAGACGCGAACTGTTATGTTGGCGACAAGTTTACTGACCCAGTTGAGCACGAGGACAATTGCCCTTGCAGCGATGAAGATTACGAGTGGTATGTAACAACGTTTTTGAAGCCAGTGTTCAATGACGCGATTCCTTCAAAGCGATTATAATTTCATACGCCAAGGCAATCGGTGTATTCCGTCGGGCCCGGAGCCAATCCCTGCCGGCGTGTGCTCCCTTGATATCCCCGATCAGACATACCTCGGCTCCTCTGGATATCGACGCATACCGGGAAATACGTGTGATAGGGAGGCTGGTGACAAGAAAGATGAACGCGTAGAAAAGCCATGTTCTAATGGTGCGTTAAATTGAGGCTCTGATCACTCATTGGCTCAAAGGAAACATCCAGCGCAACCTCGTGAGGGGGAAATTGTCCATCAGACGGTTGGTGATCAGATTGAATTACTTTCATGAAGTATTAAGTTGACATATCTACTCCAGTTCGAGTTCCAGGCGCCAGTCGTTCAATTCGCGTATTTCAAAGGTTCTACGGTTCGTGAATTGGCGATAGAGTTTGGCCATTACTTATGAAGCTTCAGACCATTCTTGTTCGGCTGGGGGATAACACCATCTGGCAATCAAGTAATGAAGGTTATACCTGGCAACAAATCGGTGGCAGCGATAAATTTGTCGCATTTTACCATCACACCTCCAGCTATGATCGCGCATATTTGATTACCGTAACGGAACGCTACTGGTATACTGAAGACACCGGAAAGACGTGGTCTTCTAAGGGCCAAGGGCCGATGACGCCCAATAATTTCGGTCTACAGATCTTGCATTTCCATCCAAAACAATCCGATCACCTCATCTGGACTGGTAGCCAGGGGTGCACTGGATTTGGGGAGAATTGCCATGTCGAGGCTTTCTACTCTTTAAATAACGGCAAAAGTTGGAATTTGATCGAGAAGTACGTTCGCAATTGCGCGTGGGCGCGGGATAAGGAACTCTTGGTAGATTCGACTCAGATTATCTGCGAAATCTACAAAAACAAAGAGGGTTCGCAACGATTCTTCCAGATGGACAATCCACTTGAACTGTATAGTGGCTCAAACTACTTCGACGCACGCACCAAACTCTTCAATCATGTTGTCGGGTTCGCAAAGTTCAGCGAATTCCTGATTGTTGCTGAAGTAAGACCTGCATCTGTCAACAAAGCTGAATTTCATCTTATGTTTTGTAGTATCAACCACAGAGGCAAGCTCTCGATCTACAAGTGTCATTAGATGGGAAAGTATTTGCGAGTGGGATGTTTCCACCGAATATGCGGCCAGACCAGCACGTAAGTATAACGTGTCATCATTATCGCCCTGAAGCTCATGCCTTTTACAGGCTTATACCATCCTCGAGTCTAGCACGCAAGCCGTCTTCTTGCACGTCACAATATCGGAACCTCCCAGTCCATTCTGGGGAAATATCTTGAAATCGAACTCGAATGGAACGTATTATGGCGTTTCACTAGATAATGTCAATCGCAATGAAGCAGGCTACGTTGATTTCGAGAAGATGATCGGACTGGATGGTATCGCGCTGGTGAATGTTGTTTCCAATCCTGATGACGCAGCTATCACTGGCCGGAAGGAACTCCAATCACGTATCACTCACAACGATGGTCAGTCATGAATGTAACAGCGTGAAAATAATTGATAAGTATTTTCAGGCGGAACGTGGAAGCCCCTTACTCCTCCACTCTTCGATTCTTTGGGCAACAATTATGAATGTAGTCGTACCGTAAGCGAGCGTTCGATCTTGCCAAATAAGCCACTATTGACTGTCGCAGAGCTGCTCATTGCATATTCATGGCTATACTGAGCGGTATGATGCTCGAGCAACATACAGCACACCCTCTGTTCCCGGA